CAATCCTGATGATTCTCTCTCGCAGCGGGATGCTGCTGAAGATCGGGTGTCGTGTCGGAGACGGATGTTGTTGAGGACCGGGTGTTGTGCTGGAGACGGATGCTGTTGAGTATTGGGTGCTGTGTGGAACACGGACAGCATCCCGCTGCAAGAGAGAGAATCCTGAGAGGTTGTGTTAAACTCCCGCTTCGCCCGCCCGCCCGCCGCCCGTCCGCCGCCTGCCCCCTGCCGCCCGCCCGCCGCGCTTCCGCACTCAACACAACACAAGACCCAGTACTCAACAGCGTCCGCCTCCAACACAACCCCCAGGGTCACCCAGTATTCAACAGCATCCCGCTGCAAGAGGGAATCCTTAGGAGTTCTAGTAGGATTCCGATCCGCCCGACCGCCGGCCGCCGCCCGCCCGCCCGCCGCCCGCCCGCCGCCCGCCCCCCGCCGCCCATTCCCCGTGCTTCCGTGTTCAACACAACACCAAATATTTAACAGCGTCCGTCCCCAACACAACACCCAGCACTCAACAGCTGCCGCTTCCATCACATCACCCAGTATTCAACAGCATACCGCTGCAAGAGGGAATCCTTAGGAGTTTTATTGAAATCCCATCCGCCCGCCCGCTGCCCGCCGCCCGCTCACTCGCCCCACGCCCCCCGCCGTCCGTCCGATGTGCTTCCGCGTTCAAGACAACACCCAGTACTCAACAGCGCCCGTCTCCAGCGCAACAACCAGTACTCGAGTGCCTCCCGCTGCAACACATCACTCACTCACTACTCACTGGCATCTGCTGCAGACCAGAATCTCCAGGAGGTCTCCTCAAGCCCCGATCCGCCCGCCCGCCCGCCCGCCCGCCGCCCGCTTCCCGCCCGCCGTGCTCCTGCGTTCGACGCAACACCCTGCACGCAACATCGCCCGCCTCTAACACCGCACCTGGTCTTCAACCGCCTCCGTCTTCACCGCAACACCAAGAGTGCTCAGCAGCACCCCGCCGCAGGAGAGAATCCGCAGGAGTCCTGTTGCAATCCCGATCCGCCCGCCCGCTGCCCGCCGCCCGCCCGCCCGCCGCCCGCCCGCCGCCCGCCCGCCCGCCGCCCGTTCCCCGTGCTCCCGCGCTCATCACACAACACCCAGTACTCAACAGCGTCCGTCGCCAGCACAGCACCCAGTACTCAACAGCCTCAGGCCCCAACACAGCACCCAGTACGCAACAGCGTCCCGCTGCAAGAAGCAGCCCTCACGAGTTCTATGAAAGTCTCGATCCGCCCGCCTGCCGCTCGGCGCCCACCGTGCTTCCGCGCTCATACCCAGTACTCAACAGCATCCGTCTCCAACACAACACACAAGACTCCACAGCCTCCGTGTCCAACACAACACCCAGTACTCAACAGCATCCCGCTGCAAGATAGAATCCTTGGGAGTTCTATTTGTCTAAATCCCGATCCTCCCGCCCGCTGCCGTCCGCCGCCCGCCCGCCGTGCTTCCGTTCTCAACCCAATACCATGTGCTCAACAGCCTCCGTCTCCAACAAAAAACCCAATATTCAACATAATACCGTTGCAAGGGACAATCCTTTGGAGTTCTATTGCGAAGGCCTTGCGGTCGGTGCCGCCGACCCTGAAGGGAGACGACGACGACGACGACGACGGCGGCGGCGACGACGACGACGCTGACGTGGGCAAGAGTCCTCAAGGATTCTTCTGCGGGTCTCTTCGGACGGTTCTCGGGGGCCTTTGGGGAGGAATTTTGGGGCCTCTTCGGAGCCTCTTGGGGGCCTCTTGGGAGCCTATTTGGGGCCTCTTCGGGCTTCCTGGGGACCTCTTGTGGGCTTCTTGGGGCCTCTTGGGAACCTCTTGGGGCCTCCTGGGAGCCTCTCGGGGCCGAGGGCTCGAAATGTCCGTTCGGGCTCCTCGTCAGGGCACGCTTTTGGAGCCGTCTTGGGGGTCTTTTGGGCCGTCTTGGAGGCGTTTTGGCCTGTCTTGGGGTCCTCTTGGGCTGTTTTGGGGCCCTCTTGGAGGCCTCTTGGGCCGTTTGAGGCGATCTTGGGGGCCTATTGCGCCGTCTTGGAGCGCCGGGAAGTGAAACAGGCGAGAACGCCCCAATCTAAAGAGCACAACAGAAAATCAATGAATTTGGCCTCTTGGGGCCTTCTCGGAAGTGCTCTTGGAGGCTTCTTGGTGCGTCCTGGAGGCCTCTTGGGCAGTCTGGAAGGCGTGAAGGCGTTTTGGACCGATCGTTTGGCGATTGGGGACCCTCTTGGACCGTCTCGGGGGCCTCTTGGGGCACTCTTGGCCTGTCTTGCTATTTCCTGAGGCCCTAGGACCCCCATCGGGGAGATGCGTATCTGACCCGGGAGGCCCCCCGCGATCGCCCCCCCCCCCCCCCCCGACGGGGGAGGGATCAGAGGGAAGGGGCTTCCCCTCGACACGATCACGACACTGCTGGATCTTTGCCTCGCGGACAAGCTTGAGGAAAAGGACGCAGCCAGATGTCATAATAAAAGGGAGGGGGTCTGGACCCTCCAAGACAAGCCATTTCAGACCTCCCCCGTGGGAGAACCCTCCAAAACATCATCCCCAGACCCCCCCAGGCCCTCCAAGATAGCCTGGAAGAGACCCCCCCCGAAATGAGACCCCCCTCCCTTTATTACGAAATCTGGAATAAGGGACGGCGGAGACGACGGCCGACGGAGACGAAGGCTCGCGCAGACGGGCCCCCTCGCACGCGCGCCGACGGGGTCGGCAGATGAAAGCCTCCCGCTCCGCCCGCCCGCCGTCTGCCGGCCCGCCCGCCCGCCGCCCGCCCGCCTGGCTTCCGCCGCCCGCCGCCCGCCCGCCTGGCTTCCGCCTGGCTTTCACGAAGTCAAAACAGCTGCCCCATCCCAAAAGCGCGAGGGCCAAGGCAGAATGCAGGCTCCTCGAGCCCTCGGGGAGGGAGATTCGTGGGGGTAGGGCTCTGCCAGGGCGACGCCAGCGAGCGCAAAAGATACCCCGAAGTCTTTCTGGCCGATCCTCGCATCCTCGGCGAGTCCGCGATTTGGGGATTGGGGATGTGCTTTCTCGTGGTCATGCTTCCGCGTGCGACACAGCACCAGGTACTCAGCAGCGTCCGTCTCCAACGCAAACAACAGGCCTCGGACAAAAAATAGCGAACACTCCTACCGCATTCATCCGTGAACGCCTCCCCCTCCCCCCAGTGTTCAAAGTTGGCGGTGGGCCTGATGAGTTGCACCTCGACCGCAGTCTCCCCCCGCGCGTGCCAGCTTTGAGTTTTTGGGGGGCAGGGGGGGGGTTCACTGATTGCTTCCCTGCACCGAGCCAGTATTCAGCAGCACCCCGCTGCACGAGAGGACACCTCGAAGTGCTCTTGCAGCCCCGATCCGCCCGCCGGCCGGCCCGCCGCCCGCCCGCCAGCGGCCCGTCCGCCGCGCGCCCCCCCGCCGTCCGTTCGCCCCGCCTCCGCGTTCAGCACGACACCCAGTACTCGGCGGCGTCCGTCTCCGACACAGAACCCAGTACTCAGCAGCCTCCGTCTCCACCACAGCACTCGCTCACTGCTCGATGGCATCTGCTGCAGGGCATCCTATTTTTTATGGGGGTCTTCTGAAGCCCCGATCGCCCGCTCGTCGCCGTGCTTCCGTGTTCTTCACAACACCCAGTACTCAACAGCATCCTCCTCCAGCACAACACCTAGTACTCAAGAGCTTCCGTCTCCAACGCAACACCCAGTACTCAACGACATCCCGCTGCAAGAGAGAATCCGCTATTCGAATCCCGGTCCACCCGCCCGCCGCCGGCACGCCGCCCGCCTCCGGCCCGCCGTGCTTCCGTGTTCAACGCACCCCAAACCCTACGCCTCTCTGGAAGGCCCTCTCAGGGCCTCTTGGGAGGCCACTTGGGGGCCCCTTGGCGGCATTTTTGGGACCTCCTGGGGCATCTTGGGGCCCCGGTGGGGTGTCCTTTGGGCTTTCGAGGGCCTCTCGAGGGTTTCTTGGTGGCCTGCTGGCGGTCTCGGGGGCCAACTTTCGTTGAAGGCTCGGTATGTCTGTTCGGGTTTCCAACCCTTGGGGCTCTCATGGGAGCCTCTGGAGCCATCTGGGGAGGCCTCTGAGCCTGTCTTGCGGACCTCTTGGGCCGTCTACGGGCCGTCCTGGGAGCCTCTTGGGCTGACTTGGGGCGGTATTGGAGGCCTCTGGGGCCGTCCTGGCGGTCGGAAGCTTGAAAATGAGGTAACGCCAAAATGTTTCAAACACCAAAGCGAAACCAATGATGTTTGCCTCTTCGGGCCCTCTCAGGGTCCCCTTGCAGCCCTCCTGGGGCGTCTTGGGCACTTCTTGGGCAGTATTGAAAAACCAACTTGGGCCATCTTGGAACGCTCTTGGCCTGAGGCCGTGGGGCCTGCCACCTATACGGCGCCTCCTTAGGGCGCTCCTAGGGCGCTCCGGGGGGCCCTGGGGCCGTGCCCACGAGTTCTGGCACCTCCGATCCGACCCTACCAGGACCTGGCCAGGGCACTTTTCGTCCGGGGACCCCTTGGGGCCGCCACGCGCGCGCGAAACATTGTGAAACTCTTGCCAGAAATTTAAGCGCCCCTCTGGTCCGTTGGGCTGGCGAATTCTAAAAATGCTGGTTCCTCTGGGCAGACCTGCGAAAAAGTCCACAGCTGCTCAGTAACCCCCTGTGCGTGCTCCGCAAACTTGGTTGGGGGGCCGCAAGTCCCTCTGGATGCTCCACAGAGCCCTTCCGGGCCCAAGCCGCTATGACGCTCCTCACGACCCTAGCGTGCTACATGCTACGCCGAGCCTCTCCTGCACCTCGCCTCTGCGTCAGCGCGCGGCCGTGATACGGATGATTTGTTTGTCGCTGGCGCCGGACATGGTCACGCGACTGGGATCGCAAGATCGCCCTGCGTTCTCCGTGGTCCCTCTGGCTCTCCGACCCTGCGATCGCCGCGCGAGGTCGAATCGCGAGGCGACGGAGAGCAGCCAGGCCGGCGATCAGCGGGCCGAGGCACCATCCCCGAGATCGTGCGGTATTCGGAGGTGCAGACCGTCTCCGGGTGCCGGTGCGCCAACTTCACGGATTGCGGCGCCCAGGGGCGGCCGAAGCCATTGGTAGAATTCCGGAGCGGGCGAAAATCCCAGGAACGGGGAGGCGTCGAACTTTGGAAACGTGAAGCTTGGAAAGGCCAGCAGGGCCGAACCTGGCCTTGGAAATTGCAGGTCCGTACCTTGGAAACGCTGGCTCCCGACCCTGGGCAGCGCAAGCGCAGAGAGATCGATGTCTGCGCACGGGGCGCCGTTTTTTTTTAGGGGGGGGCAATGGAGTCCTCGGTGGAGCGCTCTATGGGGCTACGAAGCGCGTGAAGCGTACGAGGAGGGGGCGAAGCCACCGAGAAGAGGTCAGTGACGTTCCGCCTCCCTTGCGAGAGGGGGGGGGGGGAGGGGACAGGACCAGCTTCCCCCCCCAATCCGCGGCAGCCTGCTCCAGTCAGAGGAGGGCGCGCTGAGGCGAGGGCGGTTGGCCTTCGGAAGACTGGTGTGCCTCCTCCTCCTCCTCCTCCTCGTCCTCCTCCTCCTCGTCCTCCTCCTCCTCCTCCTCCTCCTCCTCCTCCTCCTCCCCCTCCTCCTCCTCCTCCACAGGGAGGGGCCCGGGGACCGGTTTCTTGAGCCGCCGTCGTCTCGGTTGGCCCTGCTCCCGTCGGGAGCCCCGCGCGGGGCCGTGCATGGAGCAGCGTCGACCTGCGGAAGTCGATCAGTAATGGAGAGGAAGCGTGCTGCCAAATCATGTCCAGATGTCTACTCCAGATTTCGTAATAATAGGGAGGGGGTCTGGACCCTCCAAGACAAGCCATTTCAGACCTCCCCCGTGGGAGAACCCTCCAAAACATCGTCCCCAGACCCCCCAGGCCCTCCAAGATAGTCTGGAAGAGACCCCCCCGAAATGAGACCCCCCTCCCTTTATTACGAAATCTGGAGTCAAGGATGTTTCAAATATGATTTAAATAAATTTAAAACATGCTTAAAGCATGTTGAGAGCATGTTTCCGACATTTAAAACACACTTGAAGTGCAACGATAGGATTGTTAGAGTGTCCATTGTCATGGCATCCGCAAGCGTAGACGTCCACGCTGAGGGGCACAGGACCGCCGCAGTCGTCGAGCAGGCCGACAATCACGGCCCCCGTCTGCCCCCGCGGTTTCGGCTGCCCTGCAGGCACGAACCCGCCGCACCACGGGCACGCGTGGTGCCACGTGTCGGGCCCGGGCTCCTGTGGCCGCGGTGGCGTCGTGCGCGGGGCCGTGGGCGGCCGCTGGGACTTCTGCAGGGTCGACGGCAGGCCGCTGGACTTCGCCGCGGGGAGGAGCAGCAGCACGAACGACGCCCTCGCGACGTTCCTCCCCAACGAGTACTCGCGCCTGCACCTCCTCGGCCCCAGCAACCCGCTGCGCCCCGGCACCTGGACGGACCCGGGCCGCGCGGTCACCACCGCGAAGGCCGGCGGCGTCCTCTCCCTCTCCCCGCGGCAGTGCTTCGCGGGCCTGCCGGCGGAGACCCTGGGGGGCCTGCGCGCGGGCCTGCCTCGAGGAGGGGGCCCCGAGCGCCGCGGCCATGGGCGACCCCGCAGAGAACCGGGGGCGGAAAGGAGGGGGGTGATGACCAGGGGGGGGAGGGGATATCATGGCGGGGGGCATGATATTTCCCCAGATTTCCTGGCGCCTCTTCTTCTTCCATTACGTCCCTGGCCCCCCCGTTGGGCCGCGCACATGCCGCTGGTCATGATTTGCACCCCCCCCCTCTCTTGGACACCCCCCTCTTTGCCGCTCCCGAGAGAACACCACGTATCCTTGCGTCGGGTTCGCCTACCACCGCGCGCTCCACCTGTGCGTGCGCCTGCCGGCCTTCGCCGCCGACGCCAGGTACACGCCGACGCTGCGGCACTGGGGGGGCGAGGGTTGGCAGAACTACGTGTCGAAGTACTACGGCAGGAGCCTGGAGTCGTCGTGCCCGGCGCTGACGCTCCTGGACATCCGTGACAAGGGCTACGCAGTGGCCAGGGACAAGAGCAACGGACATCTGTACTTGCGGTGCGCCAACCAGTCACGTGGCAGGACGCAGAAGGCTTCGTGCATCGACAAGGAGTGTCGTGGCGGTGGAGCCGGTGCCGCGCCATGGTGTTTCGTCGAAAACTCGTGCCGCTGGTGCAGCAGGATAGAAGATCTGGACCCCCTGGCCTGTGGAAGTGTCGCATGAGGGCGGCTACGCACCCACGTGGAGAATTCTTTGGGTGGTCTGAGGCCTGTTGGCCCTTGGGCAGAACCCGCGTGTCACACAAAGGCCCGTTTTGTAGCAGCCTTGAGGGTGCCATGGGCGGTCTGGGGCTGAGGAGCTTCGGCGCCTTGTGAATTCAGCACTTTTGCGTGTGTGTGTGTGTGTTGCAGATGCAGGTCTCGCACCAGATGGCCGAATCCACAGAGCTGGCAACCTGACGCAGATAGCCGCAGGCATGCACCGGCCTACCTTTCACGAGCGCGCGTGGAAGGTGCTGCTTTCCCGCCCTCCCCGAGGTTCCCTGCGACTTCTGCTCCCGCTGGAGGCAAGCAGAACAAAGGTGCCGCACGAGAGGGCCGGCTAGGGGGACGACGCAAGAGAACGAAGCAAGATGACATCTTGACAGCCCCTGGGGCCCCCAGGGGCAAAACAATGACCAAAAGCCTCCCGTCGCATTGTTTCACGACGCGCGGGGTCCGGGAAAGAAGCGCGCTGACGTTTTCCCTAAACAGCGAACGCTGCAGGGGGGGTGATTTGGGCTGCAGAATGCGATGCCGCGCTCGAGCAGGCGAAGAAGTGCCGTGCCGTGCCGTGCCGTGCCGTGCCCGCGGTCTCGAGGGCGCGAAGCGGTTGTCGCGCCGTGCCGTGCTTGGTGCCGAGGGGGCGAAGAAGACGCCGTAGCAAGCACGAGTGCCGCGCCATGCCGTGCTCGCTCTCGAGAGCGTGAAGGAGTTGCCGCGCCCCGCAGGGCCTCGGCGCCCCGTGTGGTGGCCAGCCGCGGCGCCGGTCGGGCTGGCAGGCGCGCCCGGCGTGAAGGTCGGTGGCGCCACGGGGGTCCAGTGCCTCCCGGCGTGCGGGGCCGGCGGAGCCAGCGACCCCTTTGGATCTGCTCGTGCTCCGAACGCGGCTGCGGGAGGAGCTCCATTCATCAGTCGGGACTTCTGGAGGCACTGCAGGCGACCCGCGTCGCGGGGGAAGGGAGGCCAGTCACCGGATTTCCTTGCCCTGTGGGGTGTTCGCGCTTGTTTGGGGTTGGGCCAGGTGCTGTAGATGTTACCAGATCTTGATTTCTCAGTGGATTAGGTGGGGAGCTCGGCCTCCGTGGATGAACCATATGGGGGAAATAAAGCAGTTGCATGTTACAAGTTCGTGCTTCGCCGCAAAGTTGCGGCGGCTCGCTCTTTGGAACCTGGACATTTCCAGCGCCGCATGCAGTCGCAGCCATAGCCATCTGGGCTCGAGAAGGGCACAGCCCGCGTTCGCCGCTGCTCGCCCCCCCCCGCCCCCCCCCCTGTCGTCTCACCCTGGATACGTCCCTTTCCTTTTCGATTCTCCCAGCGCCCCAAATATCAGACGTCGTCTTTTTGTTGCAGCCCGGCGTCTTTGCGCCAACCTCGGTTTCTAGCAGGGCAGTTTTCAGGCCCAGGGCCGAGGGACGAACAAACAAGCAATGTGGGGAAAGAGCAAAACCAATGAAGGGGAGGTGCTCGGGAGCTCTGAGGAAATTTCCAGAACAGCGAAAAAGGCGAATTCTCTTGATCAGAGAAGCGTAGGAACATACAGTGGCACAGAGAGGTGCGAGGTGATTGTGCGTCTGAGGACGGGACGTGGGACGGGAGGGCACACTGCAGTGACGGCGGCGTGTCTTGGGTTTCTTCTGGCCCTCCTCCTCCTCCTCCTCCTCCTCCTCCTCCTCCTCCTCCTCCTCCATTCCATTTCCTCAGGAAGAACCCTCCCCTGTCGCACCCCGAGGCCAGTCGGAAGGGCGGGCCAGGCGTTTCGCTCGTGACTTCCTCACATACCACCGATGGGCCTGAAGCTTAGAAGCTGGCAGCAGCTTCGCCCATGGAGAGCGGGTGGTTTCCAGCATGTGGCTTTCGCCTCAGCGCCGTGCACACTCGCTTCAAGCATTTGCAAGAGCTTAGCGGATTGAGGGCGGTTCGTTTTCCACATGTGGCTCTCGCCTCAGCGCCGCGCTCGTTTTGACAAATGCAGCAGCTTCGCGGATTGAGGGCGGCTCGCTTCCAAAATGTGGTTATCGCGTCAGCGCCGCGCGCATTCATGTAAAGCAATAGCAAGGACTTCACGGATTGAGGGCGGTTCGTTTTCACAATGTAGCTCTCGCCTTAGCGCCGCGCACACTCGTTTTTTGTTTAACATTTGTTACAGCTTCACGGATTGAGGGCGGCTCTTTTTCAACATGTTGCTCTAGCCTTAGCGCCGCACGCATTGGTTTAACAAGTTTATGAGTTTCACGGAGTCGCATGGTTAACAAACCAGACATGGTGCTTTGGAGTATTCAGGCTTGCCCAGACGCAACAGTTGCGTTCATTCGCGGTGGTGGGGTCCCAGGAATGGTGTACTGGCACGGTTCGGGATTGTTAAGACGCAACAGTCAGGTTGACTCGTGGCATTGAAGCCCTCAAACTGGTGTTTCGGCACGCCTCAAGATTTTAACACGTTTGTCTCCCAACGGGGCACTCCCCTCAGTGGAAATGAACATGTGTAGGAGCTCGTGAAGAGGGAGCTTCAAGAAAGGGTGTATTCCAACACTGGCCCTCGTACGTTTTGGACGTTGATCGGACCTGGAGAGCAAGCTTGTGGTGTTATTGGTCCTCCTCTTTCTCCTCCTCTTCCTCTTTCCTCGCCAATCCTCCTCCCCCCTCCATTTCCCCGCCGGTGGCCATGGCCGCGGCCAACGACGTGGGTATTCTCGAGGGGCTCCCTGCTGCAGGCATCCTCCTCGACCCCAAGGACGACAAGGCCGGCGTATTTGCCGAGCTGCGGAACTGGATAAAAGCGCGCTCCACGGGCAATGACCTTCAGGAGGCGGGGCGGCTCGTCAACGAGGGGTACCGCTGCGCGGTCGTGTGCTTCGTCACCCGCGAGTCCCAGCGCGGCGTGCGGTCGAGGCAGGCGCAGGACCTGCTGAAAATCTTGGCAGAGGTGCCCGAGTGGGCCCCGCAGACGCAGCTGAGCCTGCCCGATCTCGAGGCAAAGGCGGCCCAGGAAGCCCAGCAGCCAGCCCCGGCCGTGTCGGGCGCGGCCCTGTCCGCGGCCCATGCCGCGATGAAGAAGTCGCTGTCGGGCCTGCCGACGCCGGACCGGCTCGAGGACCCCGTCACTCCTCCTCGTTCCGCCTCCTTCCTCTCTCCCTCCTTCCCCCCCGTTCCCTCCGCCTCCCTCCTCCTCCTCCTCCTCCTCCTCCTCCTCCTCCTCTTCCTCCTCCTCCTCCTCCTCCTCCTCCTCCCTCCTCCTCCCTCCTCCTGTTCCCTCTTCCTTCTCCTCCACATCATCAATGTCATCAACAACAACAATCCCATCATCACTACCATCACCATCATCATCAGCATCATCATCATTGACAAATCATCATCATCATCATCATCATCATCATCATCATCATCATCATCATCATCATCATCATCATCATCATCATCATCATCATCAGCATCATCATCATCAGCATCATCATCATCATCATCATCAGCATCACCATCATCATCAACATCATCTCTAGCCATTTGGACTCAAGGTCGAAACATGCGTCCCTGGCGTTTCGACCTTGGTCGCAGCCGACGGGCATCTCGAGCCGCGGGCGCAGCTGCCTGCATTGTCTGATTGCTCGCCGCCCCCCATCCAGCCCGATCGATTCTGCGGAAGAGGCACGAGTGTGCTAGTTGCATCCATGACCACGGGTGGTGCATATGCATTTGTGGTGACCTTTGCGCAGGTTGATTTGGCCAGCATCTTGGGCCAGCTCAGTGCGAACATGACCGCCCTTGTCTCACATGTCTAACATGAAGACGCAGGTGAACGAGGTGGCGTCGTGCGTCCAGCGGTGCACGACGCTAGAGACAAGGATGGGGGCTATAGAGAAAGCCTCGAGTGACTCTTCTGTCAATATACATCTCATGGTGCAAAATATGGACATAAGTATGAGAGACGCTTCGAAACGATGACGAAAGGTGTGGGTGGGGACAGGCGGCTCCTCTCCAGGTGATGAAATTGTTCGACAGCTGGAAGTTATGTTTGTGTATATCAGCTCCCAAGTTGCATATATTTCTTACGCTTCTAGTTATGTTGCATCGGATGGTTCTGATAGTGGTAAACGTGTGGCCTCAAGGCTGGACAACTCCCGCAACGACAGGCATGTCTGGCTTCGTGAATCCCCTCGGGAGATGATGGCGTTTGCCTTTTCGGAAGCACTTTCTAGGTGTGCATTCCGTATGTTCTCGACAAGACCGAGTGCAAACTTTCGAACGGCAAGTTGGCGTACCCAGTAATTTTCGAGACGGCAGAGGCCGCCAGGACATTCATCCAAGAAGCTCGCGAGAATCCTCCTCGTTGGATACAACACAACGATGGAGTTAAGAGGCGCACGCTGCGTGTCGGTAGTGACCAGCCACCTCTCCTCATAATTGTTGCGGAAGGTTGCATTGTCAAAGTCCTGGATTATTGCCGACGAGTTGCTGAAGGAACACAACGTGTGGCGGCCTCAGTTCATGCTCGGCACGGGCCCGTTCAGATGATCGGTTTCCCTTGCCGAGGGCTGCGAGTACATCAGTGAGCTTGGTCGACGTCGGCGGCGACCTCTCGGGCTCATTCCTGCTCGGGCCTGTCGCGACCAACTTGAAGAACCCGGCGATCCCAGAGTGTCAGATCGTGGTCTTCGCAGAGAAGGTGCAAGTGGAAACCGTTCTGTAAGGAATTTATGAGCAGCCCCGAGTCCTTGAGTAGGGTAAATTGTTGGCCCCAGGGAGATCTCGCCTGAATGACTGTCCTTGTGAGTTTGAGCTAGTTCAGCTTGACAGAGTATCTGTCTCAGGCAGTTCCCCCTCCTCATCCGCCTCTGATTCCTCCTCCTCGTCTGCTGCTCCATTGGAATGGCGTCTTCCGGCAACCAGTTTGAAACCTTTTGGGCTCTGCGCGCGCAACGCTGCCGCATACGTTGGTTGCAAGCTGGGCAAGCATGCCTTCCAGCGTCGGCTTTCTGTGAAAGTCGTTAAGCTGTTCGCTAAGAATCAAGTCGTTATCATGCAGGAGCGCCACGGTGCATGCACTGTTTGGGGAGGCGGCCATCCATAACGAAGGGGCAGAGATCCCAGATGTTGGCCAGCCTGGATTGGGGAGCCCTCCAGAGATCCCACACCACGTCTCCGTAATCCCTGACCGCGCGATGCTTCTCCATCGCACTCTTGTTCCAGGACGTGTCCAAGTCCTCGAGGTCTACCACGGCAATGTATGTGCAGCTGCCTTCATGAACATCCACAACTTTGCGCTCGCGCAGGACCAGCGGCGAGCCGTCCAGACTGACTGGCACAGGTACCAGCAGTGGGCACAGGTTGCTCCGCTATCGCAGATTTTCGTTGCCCTCGGCGACTTCAACATCCACGGCGAGCCCGCTGTCTCCTTCCTGGACCCGCAGCCCACGATCCTCGCCAGCATTGGGGGTGACCAGCACCATCAGTCCTTCTGGAAGAGTCTCTTTGCATCGATGACCGAGGTCTCGAGTGGCGAGCCCACGCGCTTCGGCGCCCACGCCGCGAAGGAGACCAGGATTGACCGCGTCTTCGCCAGTCTCCCAACTCATGCTTACCCGAATTTGTCGCTCACGCTGAAGGTAGACAAGGAACCTGCCGTACTCAGTGACCGTCGCCTCAGCGATCATGCGTTCCTGGATCTTACAATTGCGACTGCTGTTCCCAAGACGAACGGCATCCAGCCGATCCCCGCCTTCATCTTCCAGTTTCCCCGCTACAAGCCGAATGTATCGCTTCTTCTACAGCACTCGCAGTTGCAATTTACGACGGCGGAGCGACGTTGGCTTGGTTTCAAGTGCATCATGACTGAGGCGGCTCGCCTCGCTCGCAATGAACTCACCACGTGCCCCGGTGCTCTGCGCTACCAATCTGCTGCGGAGGCACGTTTGCTCACGCGTCGTTCCATTTCACGGGCCATATGGAGACAGCCCCCCCCCCCCCCCCTGGCCCACGCGCTCATGAGCGCCGCGGAGATTGGCAAGGACTCCCTTTTCATCGATGAGGGAAGGGTTGGCCTACTGGATGAGTTTAAATTTGCGGAAGCTTCGCTTCTGCAACACTCCCGTGAGACTCCCGTCTTCGCAGAGAGCAAGCGGTCGCTGCGGCACACCGAGCTCAGGCCGCGCGCTGGAAATGGATTACCAACTCAAGCAAGCCCGCAAACTCCAGAAGCGAAGCAGGGCTTGGGCTCCGTTTTCACGGGCCCTGTCTTTGACTGGAGTTCGTCTCGCGAACGAGGGAGGTATAGTTGCGGACCGTGCTGCGCAAGTGGAAGCTTTACAGGATCACTGGCTGCCCATCTTCTCGCGCAAGCAAGTTGATGAACAGGCTCTCAAGGACTGCGTCTGCCAACGTGCCCCTCCGAACATCACCGCGCCGAAGCTCATCATTCCTTCCTCTGCTGTTATGCGCCGCGTCGCCTTCTGTGCTCGTGCGTCAGCGCCTGGTCCCGGTCGTCTCCCATGCCGAGCCTGGGCAGAGACTGATGGAGCATTGGAGGCTCTGGAGGAGGTCACGTGGAGCTTCTTCGAGTCCGGCGTTGCCCCGCCCGCGCTCAACGACGCGATCTTCTCGTTCATCCCGAAGGGCGAGGAGGACACCGACCGCCTCTGCTGCGCGCGTGAAGCAGGAAACTGGCGCCCGATCTCCCGGAAGAACGCCGACTCCAAGCTACTCGCGGAAGCTCTCAACCTCCAACCCAGATTTCATGTGGAAGAACATGCTCATCATGACCAACAAGGATTTACTCGCGGACGAAATTTGCGCAGCAACATTCTGGCGACGGACGCCAAAGGCCGCGTGGCAGGATGGAATGCGGACGCTTCGCTTGACAAGCCTGTCCTGCTGCTCTTCGACATCGCCGCTGCTTTCCCCTCTCTGGGGAGGCAATGGCTCTTTCAGGCCCCCAACCAGTTCCAGTTCGAGATGGGCTTTGTCAAGGCGGTCGCTGCTCTGTGTGATCAGGCTATGGGCTTCGCCGTTCTCGATGGCCAATAGTATTTTGGCTGCCCCCTGGCATCTGGAGTAGCCCAGGGCTGCCCTCTGTCTGGCATCACCTGGGCCATCGCGATGGATGTCATCACCAGCGCTGTCAATGTTGTGACGCCCAACCCCAAGGACGGCGAGACGGGCGCCTGTGCCGATGATCTCGGTCTTTACCTTCAACGCATGGCTCTCATGGTTGCGCTGGCTGACGTTTTTTCCATCAAGCTGCGGTGCTCGGCAATCTACGTCTCAATGTCAAGGAATGTGTCATTATTTCCATATGGGCGAAGCTGACCAACGCGATCCGCGACGACGTCATCACCTTCCTTCAGGGCCATCTTCCCGACTGGGTCCCTGGCAAGATTGCGGCGGCAGGTCTGTATCTTGGGGCGCATGCGGGCCCCGATGCGGACAACGATCTCCGATGGGCCGTGGCTGGATCCGAGCGGTGGCAGAGAGTCGCGGCCATCGGCAGTGCGTCAGCGCCCACGGACGCCAATGCGAGGCTCTATCAGACGTCGGCGATCACCGTTCTCGGCTACCTGGCGCAGTTCTTTGATCTCCCTCCACAGTTCAAGCGAGAGGAGATCCATGCAGTTTACAAAATGCTTCGAATGCCTCCCAGCACCTTTCGCCTCAAAGATGCCCACTCGCTAAACAAATGGATGCCTGGTACTGCACCGCGCCCCCTGCTCATATATTCGCTTGGCACTCAATGGCGGGCCGCTCATTTCACCTTCAACCTCGTGCAGCCCCTGTTCCAGGAATCCCTCGAGATCGCCCATTCGGCTTGCGGACTTCCTGCGTTCGCGAAGATCAAATGGTCGCCTGTCTTCTGGAGGGAGCCGCAAGCGATTGCCCAGCGCCTCAACGACATGATGCAGGGCCGTTCCGCCCAAGTTCCTACTCATCGCCACCGTGATCTTCTTCGTGCTGGTGTCATTGCTCACCGAGCCGTTCGGGGCGCCGCTGGAGCTGGCTCCAAACCCAAACTGCAGCGAGCATTCATCATGGCCCTGACCGCCCACTGGATGAAGGGCGACTTCGAGGTCGCAATCGCCGAGCGGCTCGCGGCCTGGTTTGGGGCTGCTGTCGTGCCGCATGACTTGAAGTTGCGTTGGGCCACTTTCAAAAGCTTCCTGGTGTCGGTGGCTCTTTCGTGGCGGTGGATCACTCTGCGGACGCTTGCGGGTTGCTGGCGCACGAGCTCCCGCGTGCACGTCACTCCCGAGGTGGACCAGTGTCTTTTTGGGTGTCCTCAGCAGCCAGATGCGATCGTCCACTATCTGGTATGTGATCGGATCCAGCATCTGGTTTGCCTGCCGCGGACATTCTCGCAGGCCACTGCATTGGAGCGCCTGGGTCTTGGACACCACTATGATGAGCGCGGGGAACACTCGCTGTCGATGGCTATCCAGCGCCTCGTCCTCGCGTACTACACGTACCTCGAGGTCAAGACCCAGGGCTTGAACGACAACTCCTACAAGCACCTCCTGGACGCGTCCGCGGCCGCCCCCGACCGCCTCGACATCACGAAGTAGCCCCCTGAGGCCTAGGCTCCCTGCCGCCGCGGCCCGCTGCCGCGTCGTCACAGGAGCCCGCCCTCAGGCTACTGACGCTCCTCCTCCTCCTCCTCCTCCTCCTCATCCTCCTCCTCCTCCTCCTTATTATCCCCCCCTCCTCCTCCTCCTCCTCCTCCTGCTCCTCCTCCTCCTCCTCCTCCTCCTCCTCCTCCTCCTCCTCCTCCTCCTCCCCCTCCCCCTCCCCCTCCTCCTCATCCTCCTCCCCCTCCTCCTCAGCTTCCCTTCTCCCTCTCCGGAGGACGCAGAGAAGCTGAAGGAGGCGTTCTCGGAGCTCTACAGCTGGGTGAAGGACAGGACGAAGAAGCCCCCGAGCCTGGCGGAGGCCGGCCGAATGCTCGACGTGGACCACCGCCGGGCCATATTCTCTTTCCTTTGCGAGTTTGTCAAGCGGAAGAACGCCCTGCGCTCGCGGTGCCGCGAGGTACTCTGGCTGCTGGCGAGGACAGAGGAGTGGTGCGAGGGCGACGCCGCCGACCAGACGGCGCTGGCGGAGGCGCTCGCAGACTACAAGGACCTGCACGTCAGGGCGCTGGGCGGCGAGAAAGGCTGGCGACGCGCACGCGGGGAGCGGGGCAAGATGGGGCGGTCTTCTGGGAAGGCAGGAGGGGCCTCTCTGGAGGGATCGGTCGGCGGCGAAAGCCGAACCCTATCCTCGCCGGTCAACGGGTCTGGCATCTCGATGGGCGGCGGGGGCAGGGTTCGGGATCCGTCGAGCGCTTGGCGAGATCCGAACCCTACCCCCGCCTCGCAACGATTCAGGAGTATCAATCCGAGGCGGGCATTTCCGATCATTTACCCACAATCACCGTCTGGGGGGTTCGATCTCCGCGGACCCCCGCAGGCAGTGGACATGGATATGGTCGGGCCCCCAGGGGCCAAACCATATCCCATCTCCACCGCCCGCTGGGTCCCCAGGACGTCGGTTCCCAGGCTATGGATGTTGATTAGTCCCCGCCTCGCAATCGATGGACGGTGGATGCTGAAATTTTCGGGTTCCCGGGGGGAAATTATGTCCATTGCCACCGCCCGCTATGTCCCCAGGGCGTCGGTTCCCTGGCGGTGGAGGGGTCGAATACTCCTGTAGGAGGGGAGCGCCTGCAAGAGGCTGCCTCCACCAGCTGAGGGCGCCAGGAACACTAGGAGAAGAGGCGGAGGATGAAGTGGGAGGGAGGAGGAGGAGGAGGAGGAGGAGGAGGAGGAGGAGGAGGAGGAGGAGGAGGAGGAGGAGGCAGGAGGAGCAGAGAGGAGCAGGAGCAGAGCAGAGCAGGAGCAGGAGCAGGAGCAGGACAGGAGGAGGAGCAGAGCAGGGAGGAGCAGGAGGAGGAGCAGGAGGAAGAGGAGAGAGGAGCAAGAGGAGGAGGAGGAGGAGGGAGGAGGAGGAGGAGGAGGAGGAGGGAGGAGGAGGAGGAGGAGGAGGAGGAGAGGAGAGGAGGAGGAGGAGGAGGAGGAGGAGGAGGAGGAGGAGGAGGAGGAGGAGGAGAGGGAGGAGGAGGAGGGGGGGCAGGAGGGCCTTCCAAGGAGGCTGGAGGGGGCCGCCTCCTCTGCCCCGCCCCGTGTGGGCGCTGCCAGAGAGGCGTGGAGCAGCGGACCGACGAGGTCTCGGAGAAAGTCCGTGCGAGCGCGGAACGCCGGCGAATGTACGTGCGAGCCGACAGCGGCGCCGAGGTCCGGTGGCGAGCGGGGGGGGTGGAAGTCAGACGGGGCGGCCTTCTCAGAAGACCTCGGAAGTCACCCGGCCTTCTGAGAAGTTTTCTGAGCTTTCCCCGAAGACGCAAAACATTTCTCAGAAGGCGCGAGGGGTTCTGAGAAGCCCCGCCGCCACATCACTTTCCCCCCTCGCTCGCCGCCGAGAGGTGACTGCTACCGCCTCAGCGCCGCCAGGCGGCGCCAGCACCAGCGACAGAACCGCGCGTGCCCCAGTTGGCCGCAGGCAGTCCACTGGTTCCGCAGTCGGAGCCCAGCTGAGCATCTCGAAGGTGGACCATGGCAGCCTGCCTACGCGCGAAGTCCTCGATAACCCAGAGCTGCGCCAGCCCTCCACAGCGTCCGCGGCAGACCCGAGAAAAGTCTTCAAGGACCTGAAGGAGGCGGTGCGCGAGAGATATCAGGCTCGAGGAAGAAAAAACTGCACTAACAGAATTTTCGGATCTCTGCGCGGATGTCTTGGATCGGCGCTGGGCCCCGTTGATGGCACCTTCGGCGCCGCCCCTGGCGCGCTCCGCGCGCCAGGGAAGGGTTTTCAGAGCCAATCCAAGAAATCCGCGCGGATCTCCGAAAGTTTGCGTTCATGGCGCATCCGCTTGTTCATAAAGGCTCATCAACTCGATCAGCTGGCGCTCGAGCTGGACCTCGAGCACCGCAGGATCAGCATCCGCCAATCATTCCCCACTCAGAGCTTGCCTCTGTAGGGGTCCTGGCGGATTCATTTGGTTGGGTGAGGTGCGTCGCCGATCTCGGTGGCCGGCCCCGGGTGCCCGGGTGCCGGGGGGGGGCCCGGAGGCCCGGGGGTGCCCGGGTGTGCTTGGGGGTGCCCAGGGGTGCCCAGGGCCCCTGGGCACCCCTGGGCCCCGTGGGTGCCCGCCGCGCTGGCGACGCATTCACCAAATTGCACCCTTGCAACGGCGACGTGCACGTTCGAGAGGACGGCTGGCCTTTTCGGCGGCCGACGCACGGGCGGCGCACGGGCGACGAATGCGCGACGCAGCTTTTGTCGCGAAGGGGGGGGAGTCAGCACGCCGGTCGTCTTACTGGGCCTTAACACCCAGGGGTGCCCGGGTGCTCCATCGCACTACAGCCCTATAGCCTTCTAGCACTACAGCCCAAGAGCCCTGTAGCCCTACAGCGCTGGATTTCATGGAAGATCCCAAAAGACTCCGATCGTGGTTGTTCTCCAGTGTCGTACTGGAGCTGCGTGTGCGCTGGGCCCCCATGGGCGACGCGCGCGCTCAGAAGTCTTGTAGTGCACGCTCGGCGGCGGGCGTCTGCTGGCCATGCCGCAGGGGCAACGATGCATTTCAGGATGGGAAAAACACAGAATCGTCGACTCCCAGGAAAATATGGGAAATATGGGAAGTGCTGGGGGAGGTTAAAACTTTGAACATATGGGAAAACATGGGGAATCCTGCTATATGTGTGTATTTGTTTGCGTCCGTGGGCCCCTTCAACGCTGCAGTCAGGTTGAGCTAGTTCTGATTGGCTCGAACGTGCGCCTCGAAGGGGGGCGCACAGGTGCCACATCCCTCCTCGAAATCTCATACCAGTGGTGTTTCTTTTCCCGCGGCGTGGCGGCGCCCGTGGACTCCTAAGGTGAATTTTCGTGCCGGAACTGGCGACTGCACATTTGTTTTTCGCACCCCTGGCACGAACGAAATGGGTATGGAAAGAATGCAATGCCCAACAGCGCTTCTTTTTCATTTCGAGCAGGATTCGCTGTCGGTGTCGCCGCGGCTTGTGTCCACTCGATACAGAAGGCCGCCTGCCCAACAGCGGCCGCTGTTGGTTTGGAACATCATTTGTTGTTGGGCATTGTACCAATTTTTTCCGTACCCGTTTCGGGCGTCCAAAGACCCCGCGGGCCGCGCGGCGCGAGTCGATCAGCAGTGAACTTCGGGGGCGTATGGGGCTGGGTAGAGGCGCGCGTTCGGATTCGAAGGGGGGGGGGTGCAGCATGTCCCCCTGCGCCCCACAGGAGCATCTTCTCCTTCCTCCTCTTCTTCCTGGGGAAGAACGCGGTGCTCCGGGAGCAGACGCGGGCGCTGCTCCGGCAGCTGTCCGAGTCAGAGGCCTGGACGGGGGGCGGCGCCGCCGACCCGGAGGCCGTCGAGCTCGCGCTCGCGCCCGCCGCGGCGAAGGACTCCGCCCGTCACGGTTGGCGTACGGCTCGCGTCCCTGGCGCCGCTCGTACGCTATCTGCGTCCTCCTTCCCCGGCGCAGGGCTGGACCTTCACAGTGTTTTTGGTCATTTCGTGGGCCCTTTTCGTGTCGATGTCGTTCTGCGGCAGAGGCGGACTCGAGACAAAAGCGAGGGAAAACGAAGACGAAACGAAAACGAAAAACACCGTTTACGTTCAGCCCTGCCCCGGCGTCAGCGTCCCGAGTGTTTCCGAGCCTCTGGCCCCGCGGAGCGGAGCGACACACTCTACGATCCGCGTCCCCATTCCCAGGGACAACGTCCCGAGTGTTTCCCAGCTTGCCGCCCCGCTCAGCAGAGCGACGCGCCAGCGGCTTGCAAGGCATACGTCCCAAGGCCGAACGTTTTTCCTGTTGGCGTGGGTCTGCGGGGAAGGCTTAGAAAACCTTCCAGCCCGCTGAGAGGTTTCTGCGTCCTCGGTAAAGGCTCGGAAGAGCCTTCCGAAAAGGCCCGCCGCTTCTCACTTCCCCCCCGGGCGCGCCGCCAATTTCTGGGTGTGTAGCAGTTCCGTGGGTCCTATTCTCGTGTTGCGCGGATCCAATGTATCCCTCTATTTTGCTGGAATGCACCTATGGTAACAAGTTTTCTACGGCTTACTACGCGCCGTCGAACCCTTGGTTCGTTAGGTGGCTTTGGCGTGGGGGCGGAGATTCGGCAAGGGGGTGCGTAGAAATTGCTCAGGCAAAGGGCCATTTGAGGCCATCATTGGACCCTCATAGGTTGTCGCGGGCGCCTCTTAGGCCGTCTTCAGACCATCTTGGGCCGTGCCGTCTTGGGGGCCTCTTGTGCCTCCTTGGGGCGGTCTTGGGGGCATTTGGGCCGTCGAGGAGCGTTAACAGGACGAAACAGCGAAAAACATCAAAAGCCTTAACAAAACCCAAGCGGAGATTTGTGAGGTTTGCCTCTGAGGGCCCTTTTTGGGACGCTTCTCGGAGTCTCTGGGGGGGCCTCTTTGCCCCCCTGTGGGCCATCTTGAGCACATCTCGAGCAGTATTGGGGCCATCTGGAGGGCTTTCGAGGCCCCCGGACGCCTCCTGGGGCCCATTGGCGGCTGCCCCAGCGACGGACCGGAAGTCCGACCAGATCAGTTGTCTCTGTGTATAGGTACTCCCAGTAGCAACACAGCCAGTAGCCACCAGCAAAGTGCGGCATCCAGGGCCCGTTCGCCGCAGCGCGAGTAGGAGCCCCAAAGGGAAGCATTGCTTGGGGGATCATCGAAGAGTGTTCGTCCGGCCAGGCATTGACGATTTGCCATCGCGGCCAGGACGACGCAGCATCCACAGCAGTGGCCAGGGCGGCCAGCGGACAGATCGATGCATCACCGCCAGCCCGGGTGGTCGACGCCAGCCGGGCGGCAGGCTCCAGGGAGCGAAGCCTCTCCCCGCGCTTCGCGGAGCGGCTCTCCCTGCGCGAGCCGGACCTGCCGCCAGTGGAGCTGCCCAGCGGGAAGGAACTGAGGAACCCGGAGGCCGACGAGATCGACCTCTTCCAGAGGGTAGTGGTGTGGACGATGCTGTTCAGCGAGCAGGGCAGCCTCGGCGAGGAGGGGGCGCGCCTCGCAGCCGAGCACAGGGCGGCGGTCGTCAGGTTCATGTGCACCTTCGCGACGCCGAAGAAGGGGAGCAAGGCTTAAGTCGGGCCTGTCCCTCTACAGGGGGGATATTCCAAAATAGTCCAAAAGTAGTCTGGGGACCATTGTTTGAATATTTTTGGGGCATCTTTTGAATATTTTTTTGGTATTTCTCATTTTTCGTCCAAAATCCCCCTGTGTGGGGGACAGGCCCGACCGAAAGCAAGGCCGCCTTCCGGAAGCTGGCCCAGAAGGCTCAGGAGGGGGAAAAAAAACACAGACACAAGTCATCGTCGACTCCCGGGAAGATATGGGAAAGTATGGGAAGTGGGGGCGAAGACAGAAGCCCCGAACATGTAGGGGAAAGATGGGGGATCCTTTTATTTGTGTGTGTATTTAGTTGTGGGTCCTTGGGCCCCTTCGAAGGTGCTGAGCGAGACGGAGAAGTGCGAGGAGTGGCGCGCGGGGCGGGAGGCCTCGCTCGCCGCGGCGGTGGGGCGAGCGCTGAGCGACTGAGGCGCGCGGCTCTCCGACCCCGGCGGGTCGCTCGGCTCCCGCCCGGCCGGGCACCAGTCTTCGCGCACGTGCCAGACTGAGGACCATTCTCGTCGTCGTGCTCCCTCTCACGCTCTCTCTCTCTCTCTCTCTTTCCCTCCCTTTGGTTTTCTGTATGTACTTCTTTATTTTTCTCTCTCGTTCTGACTCCTCTCTCTCTATGTGTATATATATATATATACACACATATGTCGGCGGTGCCCCGTGGCACGAACCCCCCCCCCCGCCTTCCCGGGGGGGGGTCGTACAGGGCGCACCGGGTGCCGCCGACGACCTGGACCCCCCCCCTCTCCCGCTTTCCCGAGGGGTTTTGTACCGGGCGCACCAGCGCCCCCCCCCTCCCCCCCTGTGGTAGTGGGGTGGGGGGTTCCTGTGGGAGGGGGGGGCTCCTGTGGGAGCGGGGGGGGGCTGCGTGAGAGCGAGGGGGATGGGTCTTTGGGGCGTGAGCGTGGGGTGGGAGGGAGAACTAGATGGATGAATGGAGGTACGGATGGATGGACGGATCGACGGACGGATATGAGATAGATGGTCCAGGGTTTGCCCCCGCGCGATGGGCCCCCCTCCCCACTGTGGGCGTGGCGTGGTGGCCCCCCCTGCCCCCCCTGTGGGCGTGGGGTGGTGATGGTGGTGGTCGTCCTCGTGGTCGTCGTCGTCGTCGTCGTCGTCGTCGTCGTCGTCGTCGTCGTCGTCGTCGTCGTCGTCGTCGTCGTCGTTGTCGCGATGAGGAGTGCGATGGAGTGGGGATGAGTCGGGAAGAGTGCCGAGGAGGGCCGAGGAGGGCGATGGAGTGGGGAGGAGTCTGGGGCAACTGGGAGGAGAGCCGCGGAGTGCGATGGAGTGGGTAGCAGCTTGGAGGAGCGGGGGGGAGTGCTGAGGATTGCGATGGAGTGGGGAGGAGGCGGGAGGAGTGCCGAGGAGGGCCGAAGACTGCGATGGAGTGGGGAAGAGTCGGGAGGCGCGGTGAGGATTGCCGAGGAGTGCGACGGAGTGGGGAGGAGTTGGAGGAGGCGTGGGGAGCCCCATGGGGAGACCTCCAGGGGATTGCGGAAAGCCGGCCCCCTGCTTCCGGGAAGCTCCGAGAACGCCTGGCCCCCTACTTCCAGGAAGCTTCTGGGGCTGCGGGGGCCTCCGGGGATCTCTGGAGGTCGTCGTCGCTGACGCCGACGCCGCCGTCGCCGACGCCGCCGCCGACGCCGCCGCTGGACGCTCGCACGCGCTGCCCGGGCGCTGCCCCGCGCTCTGGCCATCCCGGGGGGGTTCGTACCGGGGCGCACCGGCGGGGCGTGCCAGGGGGGTTCGCACCGGGGCGCACCGGCCCCGGGGGGGTTCGTGCCTCCCGGGGGGGTTCGTGTACGGGCCTGCACCAGCGGTGCGGGAAGCACGAAACCCCCAGGACGAGCGATTCTGGGGGGGGGGGGGGGGGTTCGCTCTGCACCGCGCACCGCCGATACCGCATGCCGATGATAATAAAGGGACCCCCCCCCCTTCAGTGTTTAGAGTTGATTATCGTCGCCCTATACAAAATTCAAATTGGGCGGCGAGCGCTGAGGCCGAACTTCATTATCACCTCGAAACGCTATGTTGAGATAGCAACATCAAGCGATGTTGCTATCCCCGCGCGCGCCTGAACTTTTTTATCTCTGGGGTTGATTATCCATGGAAAGGGGAGCACATGAGCTACCCTACATGAGCATTTAAGATTTGGAACTTTCCATTTTTTCCGTTATTCTTCTCTTCTTCTTCTTCTTCTCTTCTTCTTCTCTTCTTATTATTATTATACTTTCCTCTTCTTCTTTTATATTTCTATATGTCCTCACGCTCGCCTGAACTTTTTTATCCCTGGGGTTGATTATCCATGGAAAATGAAGCACATGAGCTACCCTACACGAGCACTTAAAAAATCAATTTTCATGAATCGTTTGTAAATTAAAACTGATAGATTTGGAACTTTGGATTTTTCCTTTCTTCGTCCTCTTCTTATTCTCCTCTTCTTCTTTCTTAATATTATTCTACTGTATTCTTCTTCTTTATATATTTCTCTCTGTCCCCACGCTCGCCTGAACTTGTTTATCTCTGGGGTTGATTTTCCATGGAAATTGAGGCACATGAGCTACCCTACACGAGCACTTACAAAAAACAATTTTCATAAAGCGCTTGTAAATAAAATCTAATAGATTTGAAACTTGAGATTTGTTCTTCTCTTCGTCCTTCTCCTCCTCCTATCATTTCTTTTATTTTATGCTTTATTCTTTTTATTTTTCTTTTTTATATATAGCTTCCTCCATTCCAGCGAGATAAGCCATTGCTGATGATATTTCTATGAAAACTAAACGCCAAGGATGTCTCAAAACGTGCTCGGCTTGGTCTCCTCTTGATCATCTCTTACTTCGAGATTATGCTGAGGTCTGCTGGGCTACTTTTACTATCTCTTCCTGAACCCCGAACTTTATTATCCCCTAGTGTTTATTCTCACGGGCATGAGGTTATATATACACACATACATATATACATATATATATATATATATATATATATATATATATAATATATATTTATATATATATTACATATATGCTAGCCCCCCACACTAAGATCTACCTACAAGCAAACTCGTTTGGACGGCTCTGATGCCGCCGATTTTTTCTCAGGTATCCTTATCATGTTTTTGCATCGTCCTCATCCCCATCATCCTCGCCCTTCTGATTGTCACTCCCTCAATTTCTAAATTAGGTTGAACTGGAGCGTGTGCAGACCACGCAGTGTTTCCGATCCAATCCATTACAGTAGTGCTGCTGTTGCGGCTCAGGTGTGCAGCTCCGGTACCCCCCCTCCGATTGAACTGACAGCATGGGGGTTCCAGAGTACGGTTCGGACGCGTACAGCAAGAAGATAATTCGCAACCGAGGGTACAAGGAGAAAGCCAAGCAGGACACATTGGAAACAAAAACCTGTATACTAATTGTGCTTCGTTGTAGTGTTTCTGTTTTGGGGCATTTTGGATAAGAGGTTCCGTTTTTAAAATAGATGGTTAAGAACACTACATTTACACATCCTCAGGAGAAGTACAACAAAAAGCCCGTTGTCAAGTTCTTGGCTGATACTCACCTGAAGTTCACAAAGACGAAGCTAGACGCCAAGACACGCAAGTGCAACAAGCTGATGCGCGACCTGCAGACGGCGAATTCCACAATCAAGCAAATGGAAGCAGCAGGGAAAAAGAAGGATAAGCGCATCTTAGACTTAGAAGAGAAGAACAAGGAGTATGAGGAGTGGGGTTATTGGTACAAGAACGAGTACCAGGAGACCAAAAAGGAACGCAACAAGCTCGAGCGGCAGAAGCAGAACATTGATAGCGAGCACAAAAACTTCGTCGACAAACACGGGCGGCTGATGGCCACCTTCGCCGACCGTGTGTCTCCCAAATTCTTCAAGACCATTTGCAAATGTGAGCAGAAGCCCCCCAAGCGCCCGCCGCGGTGCGCTGTCGGCATGTGCTAGACCATGTGCACACTAGGCAAACGAGAGCAATTCAATTTGAATTCGGCGCAAAAAAGTCCGACGGGCGAACCCGCGGAGAGGGGAGATAATGCAAGGGTCGTTTTTGTAATAGTTTTTCTTAACGGTTCTGGGTTTTGCGATTTCGACAGAGGGGTCGCGACAAATCGATTGATGTAGTTTTTGCTCTGGCATGGAGAAGCGGCTGGGTGAGCCCGCGGGGGAAGATTATGGAAGTGTCGTCTCGGGAATAGTTGTTCTGGAGATTCTGGAGCTTGGGGGTCCCATCATACGGCGCTTTCGAATCGACTCAGGTCCATAATGTTCTGGCGTAGACACTCATGCGGGCGAGCCCTTGGGAGAAATCTATCAAAGAGTCGTGCTCGTAATCATGTTTCGCCGGAGATTCTGTGGCTCGCGTGCAGGTCTGATCTGGATCAGTTCGTTCGGGTTTGGACTGGTCAGGTCTGATATGGTGGCATGATCAAGTCTGGCCTGATCCTGCTTGTCTGGTCTGGTCTGGTCTTGTCAAGTCTAGTCTGGTCTGGGCGTGTCTGGTCTGGCGACACGTCTGATCTGCCACAAGGAATTCCTTTGTGAGGCAGCTAATATTTTTTCTGGAGCCAGCAGCGGAAAACCAGGAAAACAATGAAACACTAGGAAAACAAGGAAAACAAATCGAACAACAGTGATAAACGGTACAGGATTGCGAAAACACAGCAAAATACAATGACAACCAAACAAAACATATGAAAACACAACAGAAAGCAATGACAACGTGCAAAAACATATGTTTTCACAAGCTTCCTGGTGGTTTCTTTATTTTTTGTTGTGTTTGTTATAAGTTTTTTTTGGTTCCAGTATGTTTTGTTGTATGTTTTTGGGGTCATTGTTTTGTTTTCCTTGTTTTTTCCGATGTGTTTTCATTGTTTTCCTTGTTTTTCGTTGTTTTCATGGTTTTCCGCTGCTGGCTCCCGAACAATGATCCGCAGCCTTGCAAAATAGTTCTTTTCATCGGATTTTTTTATAAAAAAAATGAAAAACACGGCAAACAAGGAAAACACAACGAACAACAATGAACAAACAACAGGAAAGGGCTGCGAAATCACAATAAAAAAAAAAAAAAAACAGAAGAACACTTGTGAAAACATAGCAAACATTAGAGAAACCAGCAGGAAACTTATGAAACCATATTTTTGGAACATTTTCATTGCTGTCTGTTGTGTCTTCATAGGTTTTCTTTGGTTTTCGTTGTATGTTGCTGTGTTTTCGCATTCCTGTTTTGTTGTTCATTGTGTTTCGATGTGTTTCCGTTGTTGTCAGTGTTTTTCATTGTTTTCCTGGTTTCCTGCTGCTGTCTTCAAAGAAAAAAAAAGATATAGCGGCCATGCAAAGGGATTCCTTGTGTGGCGGCCTTGCAAAAGGATTCCTTTTGTGACGGCCTTACAAAGGGATTCCTTTTGTAGCGGCTCTACAAAGGGATTGTTTTGTGGAGTCCTTACACGTTGCACACTCGCGCCATGGCCATTGTTGGAAGCGCAGGCAGACAACGACGAAGGCGACCACGGG